TGCCTGGTGTATTTTGATGGCATCATCACTGAGAGGTCATTTGAGCAGCACCCGCAGAACTTGGGAGCTGTGCTGGAGAGGCTACTCTAAGCCAACTTAAAGGTGAATTCAGCAAAATGCAATTTTTTTCTGTGACAAAGTAAATTACCTGGGGCATATGATCTCAAGGGATGTTGATGGTGAAGCCATCCAGTCCTGGTCAGTGCCGAGTGCTGTCACTGAAGAGCAGCGTTTCATTGGCCTGATTTCATACTACTGGAGAGTCATTATTTGTTTTGCCACAATTGCACAGCCACTGCTCAAGCTGGCAGAGACGAGGTGGATGTTTGAGTGGACTAGCCCTGCCAAGATGCCTTTCTGGAACTAAAGTGGAGGCTCATGTCTGTAACAATACGGGCCTACTGAGATCCCCAGCACCATCCATTCTAGATACAGATGCCAGTGAAGCTGGTATTGGTGCTGTCTTGACTCAACCATATGGAGACAAAGAAAGAGTAGTTGCATATGTCAGCAGGATGCTGAACAAAGCAGAGCAGACCTACTCCGTGGCTAATGCAGAGTTGCTGGCAGTGGTGACCTTCACAAAATATGTTTGCCACTTCCTGCTGTGGAAAGGATTCCAAGGGCTTTATAATTTCCATGATGCCCAAGGACAATTGCACTGGTGGCTGGAACAGCTGGCTCAGTTCCAATACCAGATAAGACACCATCCAGGCTAACAGTACACGAATGTTGATGCTCTGTCCAGGAGACTGAGCCTGGACAGTGCTTGCAAGGAGGGTGGTTGTGAGAGGCAGGTGCCACTGAGATAAGAATAAAAGCCAAAAGCAAGCTCACACCCAACCAACCAACCAACCAAGCAAAGGGGACCACCTGCGAGAGGAGGGTGCTGCCCCGAAAAAAGATTGTGATCGCAGGCATATTGGCCAGAGAAAAGGGGGCACTCATGAGAGGCGGGTGCTGACCCCGTTACAGGGACATTTGGGGATGGAGAAGCTTAGCCAAAGGGTTTGAAGTTGATGCTACTGGCCTGGATGGTGCAGGTCGCTTAGGGACCATGGACGTCTTGTTATACCTGTAGGGCCCATAAGACAGATCATCCTACACCCAGAGCACCCATGGTTACCACCCAGACAAGCCACCCTCTGGAAATGGTAGCTATGGTTATTCTGGGAGAGTCAGTCAGTACACCCTTGTGAGAGAAGGCTACTTCTCTGAGTGGGCAGAGGCTCATCCACGGCCTGATCGAGAAGCGCAAATGGTTGCTAACCTCACTCCTTGCATTCCAATGGCAAAATTTTTGAATCATGCTTATTCTAAGGGGTGTGTGACGTCCTTCAGATAAATAAGACCTGTACTACACCTTACCACCCACAGTCAGACAGGCTGTTGGTGTCAGGAATCAGGGGCTGCCGCAGAGTCCGTCTCTGGGCAACCTAACGAGGGCAGCTGGCCTGTGATAGGCTACCTGATTAGCTACACCACCTGACTGGTGGGAAGAGACAGCGGACCAGCTCTTAAGCCCAGCTGCAGCAGCAGTGTGGCGGCTGCTCAAAGCATTTGCCCATGGTTGTGATAGCTCCTGCTCCTGCCTTGCCTCATTCCAAGTAACCTGGCTCTGATCTTTGGCTCCAATTCTTGACTTTTGACTTTGGCTCTGGCACCTGACTTCTGGGTCTGACCCTGGGCTCCTACTCTCCTAATCCTGGCTACCAACTCCTGCTCTGAGCAGAAGGCATGACCAGCCACACCCAGGTCTCTGCCAGGTGGAGCATCTGAACTGTACATTCACAGCTATGTTGTAGATGCCAGTCAACAGAACTGGGACAGTTTTCTTCCCTAGGTCATGATGGCCTACAGGACTAATGTGCAGTCGTCCCCGGGGTACACACCATATAATATGTTTGGGCATGTGACCACCTTCCTAGCAGAATTGCTGGACAGGGTAGCCATGACAGATGAGTATACTAATCCCACAGGGTACCTAGCACTTGACAGGCTTCCTCAGTACTGCTGTCCAAGCAATAAAGCCTCACCAGGGCCACCTAGAGAGAAGGAGCCCTAAGATTTAAGGGGGACTGCCCAGATGTACCAGGAGGGTGAACTGGTTTGGGTCCACAGAAGGAAAAGGAGTTTGAGTGCTAAGTTGCAGCAAAAATACAGGGGCCTCGTACAGGGTGGTCAGTCAGGCGTCAGAGGTATTTTGTGCACAATCCACTTCCTCAATGGAAACAGTCCTACATTACAACAGGCTAAAATCTACTTTGGTCCTTACCCAGCTGAACATATGATCAACTTGTCACAGCAGGGCCTAGGCAATGACTGAGAAAGCCACAGTCAGCTGAGAGGTTGACTCCCAGAGCACCGGAGAGGACCAGGCCGGGGCGAACACTAGCATGTGTCTCATTGAGTAGCAGCAAACCATCATATGGCATAGCCAGGTGTGGCCTTATCAGAAGGAACCAAAATGGACGACAAAGAGAATCATCAACAGTGGGAGGTGAACCTATAGCAGAGATGGTAGAACCAGTACCGGGGAGGGAATTCTGTAGTCTGGGCTGAGGTGAGCCAATGAGTGAGCAAAACACAAAGGACCCAGCGATACAGGAGAATCTGAGGCCACAGGAAGAGCACAGAGCCCCCTACTGGCACCAAGACTTCCAAATGGACTAGCACTATGTGTAAGGATGCATCCTTCCGCAGAGAGGAGGGCAGTATGATGAGTCTGCTAAGCAGGGAACTAGAAGTCCCATTGGCCACCTCCCTACTGCACTTGACACTTCCCTTTCCCCTGGTCAGGTACGGGGAGAGATCCTGAACCAGGAAGTAGCTAGACTATGTTGGAAAGCAGAAGCCACATGGCAAGCAAGGAGCTGTGGAGAGGTTGTATGCAGAGAGGAACCTCCAGAAACTGTAGACAGAGTCCCATGTGGAACAAGCTGCCAGACATTACAGTTGGGGGCAGGTCACTGGTAGGGTTGCCAGGCGTCTGGTTTTCAACCGGAACACCCAGTCGAAAAGGGATCCATTAAAAGTCATTAAAAGCCATTAAAAGTAGGAGCCGGCACTAGGGGTGAGGGCAGCGTGCAGAGCCTCTCTGGCTACACATGCACCTAGGGGTCACAAGGACCTGGTGGCTGCTTCCTGGGAGCCACGGTAAGTGCCGCCAGGACCCCACACTCCGAACCCCCTCCCACATCCCTGCCCCAGCCCTGAGCCCCCTCCTGTACCCCAAACCCCTCATCCCAGAGCCCACACCCCTAGCCGGAGCCCTCACCCACCCTGCATCTCAAACCTCTCGGCCCAAGCCCAGAGCCCACAACCCCAGCCAGAGCCCTCACCCCCCTCCCACACTCCAACCCAGGGTGGGAAAGAGTGAGCGACAGAGTTGGGGGTTGGAGCCAGCACGGGGTCGGACTCGGGGCAGGGGTGTTCAGTTTTGTGTGATTAGAAAGTTGGCAACCCTAGTCGATGGGGGAGCAGCAGCAGCTGGGCAGAGAGCCATGCAGAGGAACCCCAATGAGAGACACTAATGGAGCTTGGCCTGGAAACCTGAAAGCTCCTATTTGCTTGAACAGAGACTGTGCTGGAGAGGGTGCACCAGGCACAAGCCCTGAAGGACTGTGACTCTCACCTGGACTGCCCCAGGGCGAAACAGCAACCACTAGGCCTCACTGGGAACTGTAACTGTTTAAGCCTCTGTACCTAGGGTATCTGTACCCTTTGTTGCCAGCCCTGACCCCATTCCCTTTCCCTGAGCCGTGTGACTGAGTGGCTATTGAGCCCCATTAGGGCTAGTGCCTACAAGACCTAAAGCGCTTGCCTCCGAATCAAGTACACCTGGGGCACTATTGGTACGTTGGGGCTTTGGTGTAGTCCAGCTCCGAGGAGCCCAAATAATTACAGGATTGTTTCCCTTATTTAAGTAATAGAAAGCTGAGAGACAGAGAGATGAAGTGACTTGCTTGAGGTCACATCTGGGATGTCTGGAGTGGAGCTGGGAATTGTTCCTAGATTTCCTGAGACCCAGGCCACTGCCTTAACCACAGACCATCCTGCCCCTTGCAATATTTAATGCAACACTAAGGGCTACACTGAAGTTGGCTCTGCCCATCTGGTGAATTGTGAGTGGGAGAGGAGAATGCACTGAGACCCTTCCCCACCCCGGTACCACATTAGTGCTGCTGCTGCTGCTACTTGTGCACCCTGAGCCAAGGGACAGATATTGCTGTTCGGAATGAGTCAAAGAAAATCGACGGGTGAGAGACACGAGCAGGAATCTGGTGCATGAAGAAAATGCTGCTTCTGGATGTTCCCCATGAGCACTGTGGTGTCAGGTCAGAGAAGTGAACTCTTGCCGATAATTCCCAGGAATGTTGTGCTGGTCCCTCTGATGCTGCAGCCCCAGGTCAGCTCTCAGTGATCAGCCCCGTGTGTTCCTTGTGCTTATGAGGAAGGGAGAACCTGAAACGGAAGCTAAGATGTCACTCGTGAGCCAGTGGGAAATTCAGCCTCTCCAGCTGCGTTAGCTGAGCTGTGGGGCCTGCTTAGTGCACACCGAAGGCCTGCTTAGCGCACTCTGAAGGCAGAAAGCAGACCCATCCCCCCTGCTGTTGTGCTGGGAGCCTTTACTCCTTCCCTAGCACAACAACAGTATATTTATGCTGCACGGCCAGGGCTTGCAGTGCCAAGGGGAGATTGCTGCGCTCTGGGAGTTAGTGATGATGCTACAACAACACGTGCAATGGCTCAGGCAGAGCCCTCTGAGCAGGATCCTGTTGTGAAAGGGTTGGGATCCTTTCTGTGAAATGGGCCCCAAGTCAGACAGGCAGGTGTCACTCAGAGAGGCACTGATGGCCCCTGGTCAGACCAGAGTGTGCCAGGCAGAGAGCAGCAGAGCAGATAGAGTGAAAACTGATTGCCAAGAAGAAAAGTTGCAAGTGTTTAATTTAGCGTGTGAGAGGTAAGAGTGGGGATTGGGGCAGCCCTAACCCACCCTCCCCAGGGCATATTGCTGTCAGCCCCACCTTGAGTCTTGCCCTGTGGTTGGAGATACATAACATGCCCATGCTGCCCATGACTCTGATGCTGACAATGAAGACACTGAATTAAAACTGACTCTTATTACTTTTGTTTTGCTCCAGGGCGGCCCTTTGACCCCACCCTCTTCCTCAACCATTCTGTCTCCAATGTCATCTGCTCCATCGTCTTTGGGGACCGGTTTGACTATGAAGATAAGAAGTTTGTGACTTTAATAAATCTCATAGAGGAAAGTAACAAGCTCCAGTGCTCTCCCTGGACAGCGGTATGTTCAGGGATTTATTCTATTCTTCTCCTTTGTACTGGGGGAGGGGACAGAGATTTCTTTCTTTAACTATTAATTTTCCATAAACAAGTGTTATTTCAGATTCCCATAATGCTTTCCTTTTTGTTAGGCTGCAGCTACTACCAAACCCAGCTTCAAACTTGTTTCTAAGGGTATGTCTACACTACGGGATTAATCCGAATTTATATAATTCGAATGTTGGAAACAGATTGTATAAAGTCAAATGTATGCGGCCACACTAAGCACATTAATTCGGCGGTGTGCGTCCATGTACCGGGGCTAGCGTCGATTTCCGGAGCATTGCACTGTGGGTAGTTATCCCATAGCTATCCCATAGTTCCCACAGTCTCCCCCGCCCATTGGAATTCTGGGTTGAGATCCCAGTGCCTGATGGGGCAAAAAACATTGTCGCAGGTGGTTCTGGGTACAGCCTCACCCCTCCCTCCATGAAAGCAACGGCAGACAACCATTTCGCGCCTTTTTTTCTGGGTGAACACTGCAGACTCCATACCACGGCAAGCATGGAGCCCACTCAGCTCAAGACAGCAGTCATGAACATTGTAAACACCTCGCGCGTTCTCGTGCAGTTTATGCTGAGCCAGGACCAGAAAAATGAGGAGAGGAGGAGGCGGCGATGGCAGCGCAGCGACAAGAGTGATGAGGACATGGACATGGACACAGAATTCTCTCAAACCGCGGGCCCCGGTGCTTTGGAGATCATGTTGTTAATGGGGCAGGTTCTAGCCTTGGAACGCCGATTCTGGGCCTGGGAAACAAGCACAGACTGGTGGGACCGCATAGTGTTGCAGGTGTGGGACGATTCCCAGTGGCTGCGAAACTTTCGCATGTGTAAGGGCACTTTCATGGAACTTTGTGACTTGCTTTCCCCTGCCCTGAAGTGCCAGAATACCAAGATGAGAGCAGCCCTCACAGTTGAGAAGCGAGTGGCAATCGCCCTGTGGAAGCTTGCAATGCCAGACAGCTACCGGTCAGTCGGGAATCAATTTGGAGTGGGCAAATCTACTGTGGGGGCTGCTGTGATCC